GAATCCATTAAAAATGGTTTTTTTTTCTCTGTTTCAGTAGTCTTATGGCCTGTTTGTATTGTTTGCTTTGTATGTCGCTTAGATTTCGGCTCTCCCGACGCTCCGGTGTACTTTGAAATAGTCGCCGAGGTTCCTCCAGCAGCGGAGCAAGGCAAGTCATGCTTATCACTTGAACATGTTGATCCTATATTGCAAATGCTCTATCGTTTTCCCTTAAATACTGCATTGTTTTATAATGTTACTATGGGATGTTTACCTACTGTTATAGCCATGCTATTTTTGTACCATGCTCCTTTGTTAGCTTGGGATATAACATGACTAGATATTGGACTAGGGATTGCTTAGCCATGCTTAGTTCAACTAGCACACAATGGGGGAGTTACATTAATGCATAGATATCAGATTCTAGTAATGATGTTGGTTAATGACACCGCTCCGGTGTTGGTTAATTAAAATATATTAAATGGTGGGCTGTGGGTGCATGGTTTCGATGGTCGCGCCCATGGCACTTAAGGACCGGTTCGCGGGATGCCCTGGAAGAACTTATCGTACTTACCACAAGCCAGCGTAGGCAACGGCTGGGCTTATAGTGTAGCTTCCCTCTCGTTGACGCATCTAGGCAATGGTGGGCGTGATGGAGTGGGGCGGGCCCTGCGATGGCCTCTGTCGCTTCCGGATTCACCTAGGCACGAGAGGGGACCGCCCGTTGCCCGCTGGGGACGGGGGTGAAACCTGAGGTGTGGTGTGCTTGGCTAGAGGGGGTTATGCGAAGGGTCCTGTCATGGTCCCTTTCCGGTATGTCGTGGTGGCATATCGGAGCACGGTAACGTGTCGCAGGGCTGTGTCTTGTGGGTACAGTTGTACACCTCTGATCAGAGTAAAACTATTCGAATACCCGTGCCCGCGGTTACGGGCGGTCAACCAGATTCACCGTGATTAGTCTCACCCTAGCTTAGTCTAATGGAATTGATTAGTTCAGGCGGATGGTTAGGCCTATTGCAACGTGGGGTAGCGTTGAACAGTGGATGGTTAAGATTGATGAATTATTACAACTGTTTTACTGCTTTCAACTGCTGCCTTTAAATGCTCGCTTTATGCAAATGAACCGCTGTAGCTATCCTTTGGTTATATCCTGCATCATACCCCTATTCCGGTATGACTTGCTGAGTACGGTGGTTGTACTCAGTCTTGCCCTACTTTCCCCGAAACCCCAGAGTTTTGAGTACGTGTCAGATGGTGGCTTCTCCGAGGAGTAGGCTTCGTCCGTGCCGTCGAGGATGCCTGTGGAGTGGTGTTCCCACTGCAGTCCAAGTCAAGGCTTAGCTCCATTTATCTTTTAATTTTCCAGCATTTATGTAAGACTTTTATGATGTTTGTAAGACGTGGATCTGTATGTCAACTTTATCGTTTGTGTACCCCGGCCGGTCCTAGACAGGGATTTTAATGCACATTCTACTTGGAATTCTATTCAGGAATTTCTGGGCGTGACAGAAACGTGGCGAGTAAGAAAGAAAGGTTGTAAATTTGAGTTCATTGAACCTATAAAAAGTCACAATTTATTGTTGAGTGATCCCCACAACGAGAGAGTAAATAATTTCTACATCAATAGGGATATAGTAGCTATCTATCATCCACATGATGTATAAGTGACATGAGTAGTTCAAATTTGGCTACCCTAGACATATTCTAGCCTTCTTCACCATTGATACAGGTGTGCACATCTTGCTCCTTAAGACATTATGGTATAGCCTTCTTCAAAGGAATGATATGGTGTTGAATTTAGTTCCAATCATATAGTGTAACATGCCACTACGAAAAGGATTTTGAACGAACAATCAAGGCAATGTAGTTTCATCCTTTCCACACCAATTAAGAATTGGTTGTGCCTATTATCAATGCTCTAACATTATGGTGCTAAGGAAGTTAATCATGATGGATGATAGAGGAGTTTAGGGGGTTGTCAGCCTCTCCTATATTTTCTCACTACAAAGATATACTAATTAGTAGTGAACCAATGAAGTTGATAGCACAAAATCAGGTAGAGGAGAGATGAGGATAATTTGTTGCAAGAATAGGTAAAAACACATGGTAACATTTCTAAGTTGGAATAGAATCGGTTAGGGTGGTGTGAGAAAGAAATATGGCGAGCAAGGAAGTAAGTTTCTAGATTGAAGTTTATTGAGCCTTTCAAAAATCTACAACTCATTGCTTGGTGAGCTCCACAACGAGAGAGAGAGAGAGAGAGAGAGAGTAAATTGTTTCTACAACAAGAGATATAGCTATCTGTCATCCACATGACGTATAACTGACATGAGAAGTCCAAATTTAGCTACGCCGATATATTGTAATACTCTTGACAATTAATGTAAGTTTGCAGAGCCTTCTTCTTTAAGATGGTATTCTAGTACTTGCTATCTCGAGTCGCGTATTATACATTTCCTTTTACGAAACAAATTAAATCCTCATCCTCGACCTTATATTTTATTTTTTTTAAAAAAACAATATCCTTGTTACGTGCATGTACCGGATCAGCCCTTGCAGCCACACCACGTCTCCTGCCGGCATCTAGACGTATTCCATCCCTCCTCACTATTAATGCGAGCATGAACATCCTTCTCCGTCAGATGGCATTTTAATAATACTCTCTATGCTATCTCGTATAGCATATCAGTATTTTTCTTTTTCTTTACCTAAACAAATTAAATTCATGGCGTAGACTAATGGAGTTCGTAGCACGAAATCAGGTAGAGGCCCAATCGAGATAGTTTATCGAAAGAATAGGCAAAGGGAAACATGGTAACATTTCTAAGTTGAAATAGAATTGTAGTACAAGTGGTTTGCACAGGGTGGGAAGAAATGTGGAAAAGCAAGAAAAGGAAGTTTCTAAATGGAGTTTATTTAGCCTTCATAGAAAGTTACAATTTATTGCCTGGTGAGCCCCACAATGAGAGAGAGGAAATGGTTTCCAAGTCAAGAGAGATATAGCTATGAAGCTATCTATCATCCACATGTCGGAGAAGTGACACGACCAGTTCAAATACAGATACCCCAAACATATTCTAGCCTTCTTCACGATTAATAGAAGCGTGTGCATCTTGCTCCTTAAGACAATATTTTAAAGCTCTCTATCTTGAGTCACACATTACATTTTTCCTTTTCCAAAACAAATTAAATTTATGACCTAAACTAAATCCTAAAATCCTTGTTGCATGTGTGTGTGCACCAGACCAAACTCTTGCAACCATACCATGCTTGTGCCTATCTACCAATAGTCTAACATTATATCATCACAAAAGATGGATGATAGAGAACGTTAGCAACATCGTTTGTCGTAAAGGAGCCACTAGCATCTCATATGTTTTTTTAACTAAGGAGATTTACTAATCAGTAGTGAACCAATGGAGTTGGTAGCACGAAATAAGGTAGAGGAGCGATCGAGATAGTTTGCCGAAAGAATAAGCAAAGAGAAACATGGTAACATTTGTAAGTTGGAATAGACTTGTAACAGAGGTGGTTAGGACAGGATGGGAAGAAACGTGGCGAGTAAGAAAGAAAGGTTCTAAATTTGAGTTTATTGAGCCTATAAAAAGTCATAATTTATTTTGAGTGATCCCCACAACTAGAGAGTAAATAGTTTCTACATCAAGAGGGATATAGCTATCTATCATCTACATGACGTATAAGTGAAATGAATAGTTCAAATTTGACTACCCCAGACATATTCTAGCCTTCTTCACTATTAATACAAGCGTGCACATCCCGCTCCTTAAGACTCATGGTATAGCCTTCTTCAAAAAAATGATATGGTGTTGTATTTAGTTCCAATCATATAGTGTAATATGCCACTATGATAGGATTCTGAACTAACAATCAAGGCAATGTAGTGTCATCCTTCCCACACCAATTAGGAATTGGTTGTGCCTACTACCAATGCTCTAACATTTTGGTGCTAAGAAAGTTAATCATCAGAGTCTAACGATGGATGATAGAGGAATTTAGGGGGTTGTCAGCCTCTCCTATATTTTCTCACGACGGAGATGTACTAATCAGTAGTGAACCAATGAAGTTGGTAGCACGGAATGAAGAGATCAGGATAATTTGCCAAAAGAATAGGAGAAAGAAAACATGGTAACATTTCTAAGTTGAAATAGAGGTGGTTAGGGCGGATGAGAAAGAAACGTGGTGAGCAAGGAATTACGTTTCTAGATTGGAGTTTATTGAGTCTTTCAAAAATCTAAAATTCATTGCATGGTGAGCTCCACAGCGGGAGAGTGTAAATGGTTTCTACAACAAAGAGATATAGCTATCTGTCATCCACATGACGTATAAGTGACACGATAAGTCCAAATTCAGCTAAGCTGATATATTGTAATACTCTTCACATTTAATGTAAACATGCACACCCTTCTTAAAGATGGTATTTTTAGGACCTGCTATCTCAAGTCGCGTATTATACATTTCTTTTTACGAAGCAAATTAAATCCTCATCCTTGACCTTATCTTTTATTTTTTAAAAAAAATAACATCATCCTTGTTACGTGCATGCATCGGACCAGCCCTTGCAGCCACACCACGTCTCCTGCCGGCCTCTAGACGTATTACATCCCTCCTCACTATTAATGCAAGTGTGAACATCCTTCTCCGTCAGATGGTATTTTAATAATACTGTCTATGCTATCTCGTATAGCGTATTAGTATTTTTTTTTCCTTTACGTAAACAAATTAAACTAACGACCCAGACTAAAATCCTCTTCACTATTAATACAAGCGTGAACATCCTTCTCCGTAAGATGGTATTTTAATAACACGCACTATACTATCTCGTATAGCGTATTAGTTTTTTTTTCTCTTTAACTAAACAAACAAACTAAATTCATAACCCAAACTAAAATCATCATCCTTGTTACGTGCGTGCACCCAACCAAAAGCCCTTGCAGCCACACCGCGTCTCCATCCATCCATCCACCGCAATGACATTAACATGAACCCTAAAACCCGGGCGGTCCAACCCAACCCCAACCCACACCCACACGGCCCAAACCCCAGGGGATAAAAACCCCGTGGGATCGGGGACACGCGCGCGGCTCCCAGCACAGCAGCGGAGACGAAGGCGGCCACGCGCTTCTGACGGCGAACCGGCGGCGGCGGCGGCGAGGATCGATGGAGGGGTGGAGGAAGAAGGTCGCGTTCCGGGCGCGCCGCGCGTGGGCGGCGCTCGTCTCCGGCCGCCTCCGCGCGAGGAAGCAAGGTGTGTGTATACTGTTTGTTGCTGCTGTTGCTGCGGTTTCCTCTCTCTCTCCCCTTCTTCCTCCTCCTCCTCCTCCATGATCGGTGTATCCCACGTAGATAATCTTAGAATCGATTGGTTGATTCGTTCGTTTGCTTGGTTGATGATGGATTGTCGCTGTCGCATATCTCCGGTCTCTTGTGATGTTAGTTAATCTCGTCTCATTTCGGGTGTTCTCTCTCTGTTTTTTTCTTCTTCTTTTGGGGTTGGAGAATCGGAGTTCGTCCTCTCCTCGCTTCCATGGAGGAAGCGAAGTGCCATTTTTTCCTAGGATTTTTCTTTTCTTTTTTGTCTCTTCTCTTCAATCTTTTATGCGTATGCGCGGTTTTGTTCGATTGACGCCATGCGAGTTGGTGGTGGTGGTGGTGGTGGTTGTTCATCAAGAAAAAGAGGGGTTTCTTTGATCATGATTTCTTTGCTTTTTTTCTTTTCGTTCCATTTTTTTCTCTATCTCCATGTGCAATATCCGTAATTAAGAGTTCATTTTTTTTCGCTTTTTTTTAATTTAGATGTATCTGCGATTCGATTAATTAAGAGTATCCATCTTTGACTATGCAAATTGATCTTTAAAATGATAAGGATATAACCATGATGCTAATTAATGCGACCTTAAAAAGGAACAAAAATAAAGAAATGATAAATACGGTTACTCCACTAGTCCTTTTTTTCTTTCTCACCTCCTTTTGCTGAAACTCTGAAACTTGCTCATGTGGTTGGTTACATTACATGTCTCCTCTTCTTGCTCTTTTTTTTTCTGTTTGGAACTGCACATTTTTTTTATTTTAATTAGAGAAGAAATCAACATTTTTTTATTTTAATTAGAGAAGAAACCAACATAGTTAATACAATTAAGATAATCAAACTTAGCAAAGAGATAAGGTGTTGAATAAATTTTCATATATTTTTTTTATTTAGAGAGTACCATGTACTACTGTACCTATAGAGGCGGCGCCAACAACAAAACTAAAAAAACAATTTGGAAAAAATGCTCACAGTTAGTTTAGTTGGTTAGTTAGTTAGTTACTGCAGGCTCACTGCAGATAGAGCAAGAAAAGAAGCAGAAAAAAAAATGCAGAACAAGAGAATAACAGATTCAGTAACCAACCAGCATGGATGAATTACGTGATGATGAGTGAGTGGAATTAAGGACAGAGAGAGAGAGAGAGAGAGAGAGTTCTTCCAGATCTTGTTGCGTAGCGTCTCTCTAGTACTCTGTACTGTTGATTCTGTCTTGCTCCCCACCACACACGATCTCGATTCGATTTCGACTCGATTTCGATCTTAATACTAGCATTTAGCAATAGCATTTTGCATGTTCTGCATTTGTGATTTGGGGATTTGCGTGGCGTCACGAGGCGTACAGGCCGTGTGTGTGTGTGTGCACTGAAGAACGTTTTGCCTTGCTTGCCTGCCTGCCATTGATGCGAATGCAGTAGGTGAGGCACTGCCACTGACACTTACAGGTGGGGCCTCCCCGGTCCATCCTGGTGATGGTAGTCCTACACTACTGGGGGCAGTCGGCACAGCGTTGTCCAGATCGTCCTTGGTGCTGCAGTGCAGTGCAGTGCAGGGACCTGGTCCAGAGGATCCCATGTCAACGTGCTCCTATCCTTTACTAGCATCATGCTAATGTCGACCTCTCTTTACTCAACAATCTTAGGTACACAGGAGGATACTTCACCGTGTGTACCTCTGTACTTTGTATTTTCTGGATCAAATTATCTGGACAGATGTAGTAGAATATTTTCTTAGATGATAGATCGGAACCCGTCCTCTACATCCAACAGGGTTGTACACGGCCAATGGATAGATGTAGATTATAGCTGATTAGAGTTTTGTTGGGATTGTGGTTCAAATCTATATACCATCCAAATCAATAATAATCTTGGCCTACCGAGACACTCCGATGGAGTATAGGAATTTCGCGGAAATTTTACAGTTTTTGTAGTTAGTAGGGAATAGGAAACTTCTCATAGATTTTGCTGCTTCTGAAGCCCTTGCTATAAATTAGAAAGTAATGGAGACCATTGGCCATTTCTTTGGCAGAAAGTTGCAGAGGGCAAGGGATCACTAGGCCGAACTTTTATGACTGACTTGCACCAATTTGTTATTGGACCAATGACTTTTGCATCTTTCTTTCTTCTTCTTTTTTTTATTTGCTCCCTGGCCGTATTGCTGTGGCAATCTGTGGTGCCATACTGCCATTTGTTGTAGTATCTGGAATGGTGTAAAGTTTCCGTGATGTCAGGCCACGAGAAAATGGATGTTTATCCTGGGAAAGATGAAGGAAATTCCATTAATTACACAGCAGATAATAGTTGGATATTTTTCACTGACTTGCATCCCTTCTCCCTTTTCATACCTATCTTAGCTTCCTTTCTCTTCTCCTGTCTTGAATTGAGTGTTTTGTTTAAAACTAAGTGTTTGCATTTGCAGTATATATCCTTGGCTTGTAAAATGTATTACCCATATTTCTTGGCGTCATGTAAAAAAATTATTTTCCGTATTGCCTTATTTGTTTCATTGACATGCTCTTTTAACCTTTTTTTTTGTTCAGTTTACATTTCTAAACAAACATTTTTTGTTTTCACCAAATAATTGCAAACAGTTTTTGATTTTCATAGAATTAGCAAATTAGTATGTTTTAGAAATTAGCAATTAAGTCGTTAGAGTTATGTACTACTGGATGACCATTTAAGGGCCAACAGCCTGTTGAGTGTGGAGCCCAAGGCCCAAAGCATCAGAAAAAGGCTCAGTACTATCTACCTGTAGTATATGGGCCTCATTGCCTTTAGCCTTTAGCATTGAAGGTTTGGCTCTCATACAGTAAACCACCATATACTGGGTTGGAAAGCTACCGAATGCATTGATTAGTCCTCTCAAAAAGTATAAAAAGAGTTGCTCTCTCAAAATAAAAAGGAGAAGAAGAAGAAAGGGTGTTGATTAGTAGCAAATGAATTTTTCTTTACCTTCTGTTGTTCATCTCACCATCCTTGCATAAATCAGTAGCAAATGCATATACCTTCTGATGCATTTTCACCATCATTGGAAAATCAACAAATGTCCATCCATAGAAATATCATCTAATCCAATATAAATCTATACATTATGAAACATGATTACTGTTCATTTATTTATGATCATTTTCTAAGCATGATTCTATATATACATCATGTTATTCATCTCACCATCCTTGCATAAATCAGTAGCAAATGCATATACCTTCTGATGCATTTTCACCATCATTGGAAAATGAACAAGTGTCCATCTATCGAAAAATCATCTAATCCAATATACATCTATACATTCTGAAACATGATTGCTGCTCATTTATTTCTGATCATTTTCTAAGCATGACTCTATACATCCTGGAACTGGCAAGAACTACCATTACATCTGAAAAACTAATCACAAACTGCAATATATGGTGTGCAGGCAGCCGTGGCCTCCTGAAGCTACATGAGGACGTGCAGACCTGCGACTACAAGGATGTGCAGGTCATGTTCGAGATGCTGACGTCGGAGCTGGAGGCCCAGAAGCAGCAGCAGCAGCTGCTGCCGCCGTCGCCGCGCAAGCCGGCGTGGCCCGGCAGCTCGCCGTCGCCGGCCCCGGCGAAGCAGTAGAGACAACAAGAACAGCAAGAAGATGATGAGGAGACCGTGCGCTTGCAATGCACGGCACTCGAAAGAAGAAGAAGAACAACAACATTTGTTACTGAACTTTCTTTGTTTTGTTTTCTTTCTCCCAGTTTTTAGTACTACAACAGCTTTAGTCCTGGTTTTGCCTGATGCATCTGCAATCAGCAGCCAATGAATCCGTCCCCCTGCCCTTCTGTCAGTTTACTCCGGCAAAAGAGCGAGAGAGAAAAAAAATGCAGCAATAAGAAGAAGAAGAAGATGGAGAAGGAGATAGGCTCAGGAGAGCATCAGATTTTGTGGTGCCATATGAGCCTCTTTTGCGTGTGTGTGTGTAAATACAGCTGCTGCTGATTTTTTTTTTCTCGCATGTTGGGAGTGAAGAGGGAGCAAGAGGGGTTCATCTCCTGTTATCTGTTTGGCAAAATTTATGCCTCAGGGTGTACATTTCTTTTATGTCTGCCTGTCTGTTTCTGCATGTGTTCTTGAGGAGGCAGTGATCTTCAGTTTCCTCATGACACAGTGGATGAAATCAGCTTCTGTTTCAAGAGAATAATCATATCCATATTTGAGCAACAGGGGCTTAATTACTTGTTTGTTTAATTGGACATTAGTGTTTCCTACAAACATCTTTCCTGACAATTTTTCTTACAAAACATTAGAAGAAAAAGGCATAGAAAAAAAATCAAGTTAGATATTTTGTCAGCTACATGGATTAATCTAAAAATGCATTTGTACATTGTTAATTTCTTCTTGAGAGGGTTTTGTGCTTGAACTTAATTTTAGCATTCCGAAAAGTAAGTACTATATGCATTCCGAAAACTTTGTCTAGTATTTACAGGCCCATAATACTCCTAGTTGGGCCCAGATAAAAAAATTGTTTTGTAATTTCATCCTCATAAGGATATCCCAGAACAAAGTTTAACAGAGTTTTTCATTCAAAATAAACAGTTTAGCAGTGTTTTAAATTTCAAGAGGGATTTCTTTTATCTTCTCAAAATGCAAAATCTTCCATGACAGCTCTGAAGAAGGGTTAAAAACTCTATGTAAGTCCCTTCTGTGCTTGTCCCTTCTCAGAGCAGGGCATTTGAAGATGATCATAGCAGCAGAAACTTTCCCTTGTCTTTTTCATGACATACATAGTAGAAGCTCCACTTGTCATGCTGTAGTTTAATTGATTCTGCTGCAGTTTTTGCCATCATTTGTGTCCTGACCAAACTGTTGCTAAGGCAAGTGATAGTTACTGTGCAGCTAATTACGGCCACAATTTCTTTAAAGTGAAGGTACCACTATTGCCTTCACCAAGCAGCAAGCACCATGAAAACATCCCATGTGAGATTGACATATTCTTAGACATGTAGTCAATCTAGTACTATTCTTCTTTGGTTATACATATGTGTCCTGTGTGTGTAACCATGCAAGATGCTCAAATTTGTTCCAACTTTGCAGACATGGCATTTTCAATTGTAATAAAATAAATGGACCAATAAGAACTCCTTTAAAAAATAGATACACTTCATGTTTCAAAATTGTTCCAATTTTACTGGCGTGACACTTTTAATTGTAATAAAATAAAATAACCTATAACCACTCCTTGAAAAAAAAATATACACTCCGTATCTTTTCAAAGTACCTTTGTCTTTATTAATTAGTAGTGCCACCAAAGGAAAAGAACAGAACACAAATAAATTAAAATGGAAAAGGAAGAAAGAGAAAACAGAGAAATATCACTCATATATACTCCAATAGAATAGAGATATACAAGAGAAAGAAACCTACCCAAATACTGTATTAACTAATCCAACTGAATTTCAAAGTTCAGGTCAGAAACTACGGGTGCTTGTAGCCATGTTCATCTTTGCTATCTGGTCTACTCCCAAATCACCATCAGTACTACGGTATGACCCTCATCTATGTTAATTAATTATGTTTAGTCTTACAAAAGCAATTATTAATTAGTTTCAGAGCATGGAAATTTGCAGGAGGCCCAAATGGAGCCAATGGAAAGTTTCACAAACGGCCATAACTGACTCATTGACCAAAAGAAAAAATAAAGAAGGGAGGAAAACAAAAGCATTCCTCGTGCATCACAAGTGGCATTGATTTGAGATCAGCTTCTTGGCTTGTGTGGATTCATACCCAACTCCAGTAGTAGTTGCAGTTGACAAGGCACTCAACATCACATGATATCACCTAGCTTGTTGATTAATTGTTGAAATGGGAATTGAGCGGTCAAAGAAAAGGTGATGAGAAATTTGAGAGGTCCAATTAGGTCTATGGTCAAGGAAAAGTTGGTTCTTGATTCTTCTACTTGGTCCTCTTATCTCCTAAGGATTATGTTCTGATTGAAAAGCAGCAACCTATCAACACTTTTGTTTTGTGCCATCCATCACAATTCACATAATGTATTATAAGTAAATTATTTTCTCCATCAAGTAAAATGGTCTTTGATTCCCTTCACAGTAAGATCAACGCGTACTTTCACTTTTGTATCATGACATACCAAAATAAGTTTCGCTTGACAGCAGAATACAACAAGAAACCTTACAAAGTACAAATGATTCGGCTCATTTTTTCACAGGGCTTTACTCAGATTTCATAACGGAATTAATTCGGCGTTAAGTAAAACATAGAGTAAGCATTGGCGGTCCTTAAACTTGTAGGGTTGTGTCATATAGGTTCCTAAACTCTTAAAATGCATATCCAGATCCTAGAACTTGTCAAAGTGTATCATCTAGGTCCCAAATTGACACATCCCCTTTAAGATCCTACGTGGCACTGATGTGGCAATGCCACATGCACGTGACATGTCCTTTTCTTTTTTTTTCTTCTTCTTTTCTTTTTCTTTTTCGTTTTCTTCTCATTCTTATTTTTCTTATTCTGTTTTTTTCCTTTCTTCTGCACGGGTCATAGAGAAAGGAGAAGAAAGAGGAGAAAAGAAAAGAAAAGGAAAAAAATTAAATGGGTACCATTTGTCAGCCAAAATAATGCCACGTCATGTCCGTGTGGCATGCCACATCAACGCCACATAGGATTCTGAAGGGGCTGTGGCGATTTGGGACCTAGATAACACAATATGACAAGTTCTGAGACTTGGATATGCATTGGATATGCATTTTGAGAGTTTAGGGACCTAAATGACGCACCCCTACAAATTTAAGGACCGTCCGTACACTTTACTCTAAAACATATTATAACATACTCTTTTAATATCTAACAGAAATATTATATTATAAAAGTACTTATAAAGAAAAAGATGCCAATATATTTTTTATGTTTTCGGACCAAATATTTGATAGTTTATTATTTGTCAAAGTTTTAAAAAATTAAAATCAACCGTGTTATATATTTAAATACAATAGTTTTTGCTAACACCAGTAATGATGTGAATGTGATTAACCCGATAGAAAGTGTTATCTACTATATGTATGTATGTTTTGACTCAACCACAAAGCGGTAATGATCTGTAGAGAAAAGAGAAGCTAATTGTTTGGGCCTTTACCAATATTAACTGTATATATATTTTTTGCATTAACGATATAAAGAACAAAACTACCGTGCTATGCAGTCGTCTTCAGGATGAAAAAAAATGTCCTGCATGTCAAGAAAAAAACACGAGACATGACCGGCATGTAGCCCAGTTCACACAGGTATTGTGGGAATAAAATAAGTGGCCCTAAGATGTGTAAAACCAGCTCTCTTTTTTTTCCACAAATGAATTTATACAACCTGTCAAAAAACAATGAGTTCATTTGTCTAAAAAAAACCCTTGATAATGTACTAGTACATTCGTTCACAACTATAAGAAAAGCACGGTTGGTTAGTATCTATTCGGAGAGAATCTATTCCATACCAATAAGTTTATTTGAGTTCAACGATTTGCCATCGACATTGTCTCTTTATATAATATACCGGCGACTTTATCAATTGTTTCACAATATCCCACTGGGTTGGGTCTTCTTTTCAAAAATACCCAAAATATCCTTATAGGCATACAAGATTAACAATTGATTTATCTCATTAGAAGTTTCAAAAAAATATGAAATTTTTTACGTGGCCTCCTTACACAACATGGAAGTTTTTATACAATTTTTAAGTTTTTTTTGGTATGTTTAGTTTTTAGAAAAAAAATATATTTTTATGTGTTATATGAGAGAGAATTTGCTTATACAAGATATCATAGCACAAAAATATCTTATGTAGCGTAATACAGATAAGTTATATTTTTTTTTACAAAAAATAGAAATGTAAAAATCTTGAAACTTCTATACAAATTTCCATGTTGTATAAGAAGGCCAGGCCACATAAAAGTTTTCATACTATTTTGAAACTTCTAATGAGATAAATCAATTGTTAATCTTGTACTCCCTCCGTTTCAAAATGTTTGACACCGTTGACTTTTTAGTACGTATTTGACCATTCGTCTTATTCAAAAAATTTAAGTAATTATTTATTTTTTTCATATCTTTTGATTCATTGTTAAATATATTTTCATGTACACATATAGTTTTACATATTTCACAAATTTTTTTTTAATAAGACGAACGGTCAAATATGTACTAAAAAGTCAACGGTGTCAAATATTTTGAAACGGATGGAGTATGTTTCTAAGAGTAGTTTAGGCATTTTTAAAATGAAGGACCAATCCAATGGTGATCCAATGGTGTATTGTAAAACAATTGATAAAGTTGTCGGTATATTACAATGTCGATAGCAAATTGTTGAACTCAAACAAATTCAGTGGTATAGAATATATTTTCTCCATTCGATATTAAAAGCTATATCTTTATCTCATAGGGAATATCAAAGAAATTAACAGTCATGTGGCACACTAATGCACTATAATTATTGAAGGGGAAAAAGAAAACTATCGTCGTGTTTTCTTTTAAATGATCGAAAATAGCATCTATATGCAGTATATACTAACATGAAATTTGATTATAGGAGTCGTCAAATTTTTTGCGGAATGATTTTTCGCAAAAAATTCACGGGAGGAGAAAAATAATTCGCAAAGAATTTGGCGAACGAATTTTCCACGCGAGGACGTGGCGGCCGCGCCGCGTGCACCTTCCAACTACCCCACCATGCAAACCAGAAAGTGGGGCCGGAGGGCGGGAGGCCCACCATTCGGGCCCACACGTCAGCCTCTCCCGCTAGCCCCGCTTACGGTATCCACATCGGAAGTGGGCCCGGAGGGTGGGGGCCCAACCTATGGGGCCCACCCGTCAGCCTCTCCCGCTAGCCCCGTCTCAGGTATCCCGATACGAGCTCAGCGCCACGCGCGTCCGACTCGACCGCCTACGTGGACCGGGCCCACGTGCCGGACCTCGTCCCGGGCCGTCGGATCCCATCCGCCGCGGCCCATCGGACGGCCAGGATGATATGCCACGTCGGGCCCACCGCCACCTCATCATCGTCTCCGACTGCGTTTGTTTTCTCTCTCTCTCTCTCTCTCTCTCTCTCTCTCTCTCTCTCTCTCGATCTCTTCTTTTATTTCTTCTTCTTGGCCATGGCGGAGGGAGGAGGAGGAGACGAGGAAGCCAAGCGCACGAGACATTGTTGAGGGTTTGAGACCTCCTCTCTCATCGAGTTGAGTTGTTCGGCTCTCTCTCTCTCTCTCTCTACCCTTCTAGCTGGAGCACGCAGCAGAGGAAGAGGAAGAAGAAGATTGGGAGGGTATTTTTCTCTCAGATTATCTCTCCGATTTCTGCTCTATCTCCTTGTTTGAATGAATCTTTGTCTGCCGTTTTGATGGTTCTTGTGGTTTCTTGGTGGGTTTGATTGATTGATTTTGATTTGGTTCTCCTCCTGGCTGTGACTGCCTTTCCGAATCAATTAATCCCTGTCCGTGTTTGTTTCGATACGGAGGTGATTGATCAGGCAGATATAGATAGATAGATAGGTTGTTCTTGTTCATCGGAGGACGAGATTGCGGAACCAATTTAATTGTAATTTTCTTGCGAGAACAAGTCAGATTATACGTACGTACGAACGATTTCTTTTTGTTTGTATCTTGGATAATGGTTTAGGGAGTTAAACGACAAGAAACATTGTTTTTGGCTCTGCCTCTTTTGAGGTTTGTTGGTATCGTGCGGGCGATTCTTGGGGCGTGAGAAAAGATGCCCGATTAGGGCGGGCGTTTCGATCGATCGATCAATCAATTGATTCCTCTCTCTCTCTTCGTTTCTTGCGTATTTGTTCATCCACCACGCAGTACTACGACCGTACGATCGCGATGCACAATTATGAAATTGCTTGCCTACCAAATCTTTGATTGTTCTTGGCTTCTGCAAATCGTAGGAGTTAAGGGAAAACCGTTTAATCTGTTTTGGTTCGTATCCTAGAATACTTTACCATCTTGGCACTTCTGCTTTTTTCCCCCGCTTTTTTTTTTTTTGGCTTGATTAGTTTTTATCTTCTGTTACTGCGAGCATCACTTACTACTCTGTTTGACCATCATTTTAGTTTTCCTCGATTAATTAATACTGTCTTTAAATCTTCGATATTCAGTAATTACTCCAAGTAGTACTGTCTGTCACGTTTTTTTCATTTGCAATTGCAAGATGATGAATGCCATTTGATTCTAGGCTAATAGTGGCGTATACTTTTAAGGATCATGTTTCATGTCTTGATTCAATGGTGGCTTGGCGTGGTAGTGTGGGTATGAGTGGATTCACCTTTCAGCAAAAGGCAATGATCTCAGCTAGAAAGGGGGCAGTACTAGACTACCAGTAACTTTTCCTTTCTTTTTATTTTTTTTTGTCCGGTAGAATGATAAAAGGCTTTTCATCCTTGCATAAGCCTTATGGTTGTAAGAAGCACCTCAAGACCTAATCTATATGTAGAGTTAATTTGTAAGTATGTAGGATCACCTAACTGAAGTTGTCTTCTGACAATGCTGTTTGTTTTGGTCACATTGCCCATAACTGTATCTGCACAGATGTCGATGTCGTCTTTGGTTGTGCTTTCATGATGAGCAGGTCTGGTTTTATCGGTTTATATGTGTGTGTTTTTTTTGTTGATTCTTAATTTCAAGAACCGTTGTTTTCATGATTGTCACCATATGTGGTCTGCATTATACTTGATTTTGATTGGTGGCAAATTCTTGGTTTCATCCATTATCTTGTTCTGACCTGCTGATGCTGCAAAGTTTTGGACAGTAGAAAAATACTTATTCTGCAAATTATTTGCGGAGATCTCTTCCCACTTTAGTTGTTTGCGAATTATAAGGGAGCACTTCATTGTTTTGTATCACCTAAAGCTTTGTTTGATTTTAACATGTTAATTATGCCCTCGGTCCAATTGTGATATTCTGTTGACCTAGTTGATGATGACTTATTCATCTCTCAAACTTGAGCTTGCTCCCTTTTTTTTTCAGTTGAATATGGACGAAACCATGGGGAGGAGAACAGTTGGTGGCCTTCTATTGACCAAAGGGGGCTCAATCCTTGTATATAGGGAAGATAGCCCGCGCCACAAAGCGACCGCTTGCTGTACGCGCACTGGCTGTAGCAGTAAGCTTTTCCGTGACAAAGAGAAGAAAATGCGCAGGCCAACCAAAGAAGCAGTGATTCCTCAGAGATCACTACTTGTCAGTGGATCCAACAGGCTGTTACCTCAAGGAAGAATGGCTTATGGCAGCAGGAGGAATGCAGCCGGCACCTGTAGCGAAACCGGCAACAGACCTAGAAGAGAAACTGCTGGACAGGATCTTCTGGACCATTTGAAAGAAAGAGTAAATTCGTCGAGGAAGCGCTCATTGAGTGGAGGGAGTAGCCCATCATCATCAAACACATCTAGTGCAGGTTCCTTGAGTAGTAGTAGTAGATCAATTTCAAGACAATTGCATCGATCAGTTCCAAAGACAAGGAAGGATGGAGGCACAAATGGAAGCAATGCCAGAATGCGTAGTGATAGTGGTGGAAATTCTGGAGCAAATGTGCATAGGAGAGCTGATTTGCAAGGACCTACCGGTAGGTTTGTTTCTCAAAGCTTGTTGAGACATAGAAGCAGAAATCAAGAAGAACCAGTATCTCATTTGGAAAACAGTTTGAATGACTCCACTGAATACTGGCGCTTCGGTGTGGATGAAAGTGATGAGGTACGCCTTTCCATTGTTACTTCCATAATGGATTTGCAGTATCCACCCTGTAGATGTTCTGAGAATGTATTGATTATTATGTCAAGAAAAGAATGTACCGATGCAGAGGAAATGCAATCCTCTTGCATTTTGTTGCTGACCACTTTGAAACATAGAGTTTAATTCTTTATTGTCTTGCAGGATGCTTCCAGTGATAGGCATAGAGGAATGAGAATGGACATCGACGACATGTCTTATGAGGTATATCTATTATTCAGTTCTAAGAGAGCTGGTACTAAAGTCCATATTTATTCATGTAAACATTTTAGCCCCAAGAACCTTTTGTTTGGAATTTATTCCTTTCCGTTTGTTTGATGTTGGTTGTGTGGCATTCTAGGAATTGCTTGCTCTAGGGGAAACAATTGGTACCGTGAGCACTGGCCTTCCAGAGGATGAACTGTCAAATTGTCTGAAGAGAATCCACTATGTGCCCTCAGCTTCAACAAGTCATGAAGATGGTGATATCAAATGCATAATATGCCAGGTATGTTCATTTACTAGCATTGCATCATTAGAATGATCTATAGTTTGATGATATGTGAGTTGCTCTGGTTATTTATGATATCCTTAATTCCTTACTGTCAACACTTCTTCCAAGACATGCAGCAAAAGAAAAGGAATAATGAGTTTTATATCCTTACTGTCGATGCTAAATATATTTTAACATACAAACCATTATAAGTCAATCAGATGATATAATACTACTATATAGTAAACTAGTCTAAAATATCATGAAAATTTGGGCCAAGAACATTTCTGTTATTTAATTTCGAGATGAATGACTAATATACTGTACTGAAAAATATGATGTACCAATCAATCAAACATAAATTCAGGCACTGGATTTGCTGAAGAAACTTCTTAGTACTTGAAAAGATAATCTGGTGATGACATGTGGACATGTTCCTTCTCCTGCTTATCTTTTCAGGAGGAATATTTACCTGCCGAGGAGGTGGCCGAGATGGCGTGCAAGCATTACTATCATCTTGCTTGCATCCAACAATGGCTTCGGCAAAAGAATTGGTGCCCCATCTGCAAATCCGTCGGTTCTGCTACGAAACATTAGTGTACTTGAGAGAATTGAACAAGATGCAGATTCATTTTGTTTACATAGATTTTCATTATATTCTTTGTTTAGATTCAACTTGTTGCTCAAATGTCCAGAACTGTTCTTGCTCTCACTCCACACAATGCAGCGTGGGCAAAGAAAAGTAGCAGGAAATAAATCAAGGTAGAAAAATTTTTTGTTATTGAACAGACAACCCATTCTATACAGCAATTTGAAGTCCACATTATTCGTTATTGATATGGCGATCTCTATTGAGTCAGAGTTCAAATTCAAGTGTATGTACGCATCCCTTGCTTCTCAATCCTCAAATACCAGTAAAATTAATATACAATCTCTGAAAAGAAAAATACAACAATGTTGTGATAAGCAGCCACCATCTAACAAAATTTTAAGTCTAGAACAGATGTGCATGGGGAAAAAACTAAGGGAAAAGTTCATTTTACACCCTTGAACTCTTATGCTTCTCTAAAATACACCCCCGAACTACAAAAACCGGGTATAATACACCCTCAAACTGTCAATACCGAACACTTAACCCCCTCGGACTGTGTTTTACCGTGGTTTTTGCCACGTCGGACGCCACGTCAGCCCTCGCCACGTCAGCACACAAAGTAATATGGGCCAAGCCCATACTCTGTTCGTTCTTCTCTCCCTTCCCTGTGTTGACGGTCGTTATCGATCAGTTTCGACCGTCAATATTACCAAAATAGAGGAGAACTAGTGATGCTTGCAATGCATATATCTGTTAGAATAATAATATTCCACTAGTATTAGGTATACTAACCTTTTGCAGAGAATGACAATAAAGTGGAGGAGAATCGACATCAACTTAGACGATAAATCAATCGGACGATGTCGAGAACCAGACTTATGTATGAATGGGCCAAGAACTCAGAATTGACACAACGAATCGGGCCAAAATTCACAAGTCTGCGAAGAGAAGCAACAGAGGAGGCCGCTAGCCGAAATTGGGCAGGATTGGGCCGGCCCCAGGTTCGGCCGAACCCCCAGCAGCTCCGTTTGATCCAGGGTTCCCCTGGACGGCTGAGATTGCTCCCCAATGACGGTTGGAGGGTATTACCGACCATTCCAACCGTCACAACCGTCATTGGGAGGCTATAAAGGAGCTCTCATCCTCACTTCACTCACACACCTCAAGCAATAGCTCTCTCATTTCTCTCAAGTTTAGTCTAGCAATATCTAGCTGGTGGAATAGGAATAGAGTAGAAATCAGGAGTCCGGAAGCCTTCGGAAGAGTTCAGGTATGGCTCTAGTAGCTTTTCTCTTCTCTTTTGTAAGTTTTGTACTTTTATTAGAATACTCTTCTAAATATATTTATGGTATTGAAATACTTTCCAAGTATATGAATACCTACTTTACATTATGTTCATGTTATACTGAATATACGGCTAGCTTATCTGGGAGATGCTTTGGTGCGGGTATAATGTTTGCTTATGCAATTACTCTATGTCATGACGATGATATTAGAGTAGTATCTGGTAGTTTAGACGTTGTGTCTAGATTACGGGATATCATTATTTGGGGTTATATATTGCGGATGAGAGGTGGGCCGCTGATGGTGACAGCTCAGTACGAGTATTCCTCTGCGCCGGTATATAATCCTAAGTTAATTCCCTGGGGAGGGTATTCCTCCGTATTTAGCCCCAGTTGTATGGTCATGACGGGATGTCGTAAGGAACTCGGCAGTTAGGGGTGGCTTCTCGAAGTACCAGGAGGGCATCAGATAGAGGGTATTAGCTAGTATATCAGTTAACTAGAATGTATATGTATACTATGTATATTAGAAGTATAGGAATAGATTTTCTTTCTCTTTTCTTTCCACTTAGCTCAGATAATATATTATGAGAATATGTATACTATGTATATTAGAAGTATATGAATAGATTTTCTTTCTCTTTTCTTTCCACTTAGCTCAGATAATATATTATGAGAATGAGTAGTAATGCTTGTGTGTCACTCTACCTTTGGATTATCTTAACCCCTGCTTAGAATATGATTATCACAAGTAATATATAAATTATTAGTTGAGTTCTCTCTACATGATCTTCCCACGGGATAAAATAAATACGATACCCTTGGAATACTCTCGGGTGAAATGCTACAATGGTATATCCGTGCGCTTGCGGATGAACTCTGTAACCATAATATACCATGAGTATTTCTGCGCCATTGCTGGGAATTATATTTCTAGTAATATCATTAAGAAATACCAACACCCTGTTCGTTCTTCTCTTCCTCACAACCGTTGGCGGCGGCGGAGCGGAGCTGCGAAGTTTGAAAATGAAAACATTTTATGTTTTTGTAAATGGAACCTGGTAGATTGAAAAAAAGAGAGTAGAAGAATGCATCACTTTGAGCATTTGATGTATTTCCTTTGTTCCTCGAAATTCGCATAGAGGAATCGGCCACTAAACTAACCTGCTTAGCAGTAAACTAACCTTCTTAGCCACAAGAAGATCGGCCCTCTTACGGCACATCACACACCTGCAAACAACCAGCATCAATTGTCTCATACACAATCAATCTTCCAAAGCACGACAAAAAATTCATGTCCTTCCACAGATCAACAACGGGAACCGCCTTTCCTCTCAGATCGAACACCTCCACCCCCTGCAGAGATTTCGCTAGCTCTTCCACCGGCGCCGCAGCTGCCTCCGGCCTCCCCGGTCGTCCCTGCAAATATCATCGCACATATCAGCGGTTCAGCACCATGCATGCGAGGGGAAGGAGGAGCGGGGCCTGGAGGCTTACCGGCGGCCCCGGGCTTTGCGGCTGCTACCGGCGCAACAGAGGAGCAGAGGCGGCGCGGGTGGAGGAGGGAGCCGCACAGGCCCCTCGCACGGAGGAGACTCAACGCCTCAGCCGGTCGCGAGCTGGTGGCGGCCAAGTGCGGAACGGGGAGCCGCCGCCGTAGCTCTGCCCTCGCAGCAGTCACCGCCCTCGCAGCTCCGCGCCGCCACCGCAGCCGTCGCTGTCGCTGCCGCCGCCAACAGTCGTGAGGAAGAGAAGAACGAACAGGGGAGGGAGAGAAGAACGAACATAGTATGGGCTAGGCGGCTTGGCCCATATTACTTTGTGTGCTGACGTGGCAAAAACCACGATAAAAACAGCCCGGGGGGTTAAGTGTCCGGTATTGACAATTCGAGGGTGTATTATACCCGGTTTTGTAGTTCGGGGGTGTATTTTAGACAAGTATAAGAGTTCGAGGGTGTAAAATGGACTTTTCCCAAAAACTAATGGCTAAAAATATAAGGATTGCGAGAGCACGGAATTCTGTTCCGATGGATACTTCATGAATCCGATCCCCACTTCCTGCCTCCCCCATGTTTGATCTCCCACGCTGCAAGGGAACGAAGCAGCGGCAACCCTCAGCTCGTTGCCCCCACCGATCATAGCAATAATAGGAGTATGGAGGCATTGAGGAGAGTAAGGGAGAAGAGATAAGGCAACGATAGGTGGCTTGCCAGTCAGCCAGGCGATGAGGGGCACACTCTTCCAAGTCCCCTTCAGCCTTGACGCCTCCCTTTCCTTCTCCTCACACATCACAACATACATGCCCTCTCCAGCGAATCTCTCATGCTTTAGATCCAGTGTATGAAGTGAGAAAAGAGGACTCTCTCATGCTTTAGATTTAGTGTGTGAAGTGAGAAAAGAGGATAGGGGATGTCGTCGGTGTTAGGGATGATGGTCAAGGAGTTGAAGAGAGGGAGGGAGGAGGATATGCTTTAGATCCGGTGTATGAAGGGAGGGAGGATGAGGATATGCTTTAGATCCGGTGTATGAAGTGCGAAAAGAGGATAGTGGATATCGTCGGTGTTAGGGATGATAGTCGAGGAGTTGAGGAGAGGGAGGAAGATGTGCTGACTGGTGTAAAGTTGGTGAAGGAAGGAGGATGAAGCAACTGGTTGTATCTTAAATCACATGCAAGTGTGTCACGTCATCACACACTAGCAATTATTATCTAGAATATTTTAAATATCATACAAATATGACATATCATTTACAATTTTATTGCATTTTTAGAACTCAATATGCAAGCAATGTTAAATCATTATCTCTATATTATTTTTGCATTATTTAAACATATATATCCTGCAGCAAACCGTAGGTATCAACTAATACATAGGAATGAGTGTAACATAGAATTCACACAAGAGGTTTTCCTCGTATGGGCAGAGTAGGATGGAGTGCATGTACGCTCAAAGAGATGGAAAAAGAGTAGTACAACCCTAATCTCACTAAATTTCTATTTTGCAACCATCATTACATCCATGATCACTGAATTTGCATTAAAATCCTATTTGACTGCACTAAAATCCCATTTGTGTGTACATAATTTATATTCATAAGCACCAGAATTTAAACTCTCTTATGAGTGAAGTCATATAACCATAACTCTACTACCACGCGCTTCCCCAACATGTCACTATTTTAAAATATACTCCATCCGTACTCATAAAGGAAGTCGTTTAGGAAAGCGACACGGTCTCCAAAACACAACTTTGACTTCTTGTTTCTATAAAAATATTTATTGAAAAGTGATATATGTATACTTTTATGAAAATATTTTTCAAGACAAATCTATTCATATAATTTTTATATTTTCAAACTCAACAACTTAAGAGTTATTTATGATTTATATTCCCAAGGTTTGACTCAAACATTGTCCTAAACAACTTACTTTACAAGTACGAAGGGAGTAGCATATAGCAAGTAATTATTTTATGATGTAATGTTCCCCAATTGGAGTCATTTTATTGTTGAAATTATAGATCTAATTCAATTTTTAAATTGGCGATAACATGATGTTCTGTATTTCGAAAGGCTAGAATCAATATTTTATATTTCTGAAGTTAAGGGTTGAATTTGACTTCCACAGAAGTTTGGCACCATAACATCTTTTATCAATTTTTCCTTTCATGTGAAGTGCTTAGAAGATTTATGTGATGATCTTCAGCTTTCACGGTTTTGCTCTTTCCTGGGCAGCATATGAACGTGCCAGCTGGCCTGAAGCTCTCTTTCTCCGTGACATCCACTGACGCCTCTTTTCACTGGACGAACTGAGATGTCAACCCAAGAAGCTTGGAGTTGACGAATGGGTTGAAATTTCATAGGCTAATTAATTACCCACTCAACAGAAGCGTATGAATTCATTTTTTCCACTAAAAAAACCTTGGTTCCATTGAGAATAACTTTCAAATGACAGATGGCACATGCTTCCTCCTCCAGCCAGTTGGACGAACCCGTTTGGAACGCAACAATCTCATGAACTCATGCAAAATATGCTTTGATCCAAACTGGGCCTTACCCAAGGCGACTCAAAACAGTCGATACTCAATTCTCATGTATTGACAACATATTACTACTAGCTGCACCTGACATCATTCTTTAGAGGCGTTTGCACAAGGAGGCAAAGAACTAGGCTTTGAAGCACAGTAGCAAGCCAGTGTAACTCAAATGCTCCCAATGATCATAACTACAGATTAACTGAGAATGCTACGGACCTTATGCAGCATGGCGAATATTTCCTGGAATATGGACGATGAATCATATCACCAGGGCACGAATGGCTTGTGTCCACTGGTCGAATTCATTCACCAAGGAGATGATCCGCTCTAGGGTCGAAGCAGGTGGCACAGTCTGTTATTTCGGAGGTACCCTACTACTCACTTCTAGGTACAAAAAAAGAACGAAGCACGGGGGATTTAAAATGGCAAAGAAAGAAAAGGTCGCGCGCCAGCCCAGCATCAAATATTAAGGGCAATGAGGTGCTCCTGCAGAAAACCAAACCATTCATTTATTAGTAATGAAGAGAAATCGGTTCAAAACATCATATTAATTATTAGTAATGAAGAGAAATCGGTTCAAAACATCGTATTAATGGGCATGTGTTAAGTGTTGACCATAAGGGGGAGCACTCAAAAAAACTAAGCAAATTAAAAGCATTGCCACCTCATACAGATAAAATTTGCCAATCACAACAGCCATAGCAGATGGTGACGGCCGAGTAGGCAGTTATTAGACAAGCAACGTACGTTTTAATTGCATACCATATTTAGTAATGCTTACAATTTAGAAGCGTAGATTTTTTTTTTTACATTTAGTTCAATCCCTTTCATGCTAATGCCAAAGCAACCAAACATTAAAAGCATTGCCACCTCATACAGATAAAATTTTCCAAACACAACATGTAGCAGTAACGGTGACGGTACGAGTGGAGCTAGGTGGTTATTAGACAAAAAACGAAGAGTGTACGTTTTAATTGCATACCATATTTAGTAAAGCTTACAATTTAGAAGCGTAGATTTTTTTATACTTAGTTCAATCTCTATTATGCTAATGCCAAAGCAGCCAAACACAAGAAAACATTATTTATCCATTGAGTAGGCAAACAAGAACCACCACAAATCCACAATCACAAAAGGAGCTGTCCCCTTCATCTAAACAAAGCTTTCAGGAAGCAGTCAACTCAACCAATTGCTCCTAACCAAACACACTTTCGGCATTAACAACCAAACCTTTCCTATCAGAATTTTCAAACACCCATTAGAAAGTACCGGAGCGAGCACCTATCATAGGCATCTCAAATAGTAGTACCGGAAAGTTCAACTTTTTCATCAGCCACTAATTCTTTTACGGGAACTCAACCAAGGTATATAGCATCTAACCAACAACAAAATTTCACAAGTAATGCAATGGATCCACAAGAGCAAAATTAGCCTTAGGACTCATCCAGGTAACGTTGCAAACTAGAGCAAAACATCACCTGTACAAGACGCAGAAATGAGAATTCTCAACCTTGAAGGACCTTCAATGGATCTAACTGCCCACTACAGTAACTGGAAGGAACAGCTGAGAGTGCAAGTCTTCCTTTCCACTCTTCACCTGGCTTCAGAGTAATAGGCTTCTCAACAGCTGCAGGCTCCACACAAAGCATGTGTTTGTATTCTCCATCTCCAAAATCTTGCATAGCTTTTGCCTTCTTGTCCCAAGGGTTCCAAACAACTACAGCAGAAACAGCAGCAATAACTAGATGAAATAACACAAATAGCGAAAAATAGCTAGGTCAACATAAAAGATTTGCCATCAGATCAAGCTTACCAGCATCTGGAAGTCCTTCTTTTGTCAAGACAAATGTCCTTTTCTTTTCATGATCAATAATTGCAATTTTTGAAGGTGCAGCAAGGTATACCTTATCAATCTTAACATAGAAAATTATAGGTAAGAAGCTTGAAATATTAGTTATTTAACACGAAATGTGGACATTTAACAGTAATAGACTTACCTCTGATTCAAATACAATAGCATCCCCTTGCTCTGTAAAACGCTCCTTTCCCTTCAAATTGTCAAGGTAGTCCATTGTTTCCAGCCCTTCAACACGCACTTCACTGATAAAAAGGCCAAGTCAAGTAAGGAACATGATAGCGAATACTTGCATGCAAATGTTTCTAACCCAAAAGAAAAGGAAAAACAATCATGCACTTGGAGCCATTGGATAGACCCAAATCAGCAATCTACCCTGTTATCAATAGTATGAAGTTCTTTGCAACCCGATAGTTAGTTCAAACAAATTCTTGAACTGAATGATATCTGGGCATGAATTAATCATATACAGGGAGTAATGCAACAACATGACAGTATAACACAATACCACAATGATTACTTTCTACTATAATGTTCCATGTGTGGCATTTCCAATGTGTGATATCAACAAGGAACTAAGATTTTTTTTCTATGCTTCTCACAAAAAGGATACCAAATACAGATGAAAAAAATCCACAATGAGATCACTGTTTGACTGACATACATAACACAGTAAAACCCATCCATGGTACAAAAGTATTTAGGTTTCCAGCACATCAAGTACTATATCAACAATTGGAACAGATCATTACAGAGGTCAAAACACTACAAAAATAAAGTGGAGAAGATAAAACATCATGAAACACATACCTGATGTCAGAGACAGAGAAGTATGTGTGATATGCAAATGTGTAAGAGAAAGATCTTCCATCAGTGTTGGTATTCCTAATTCGAGAAGTGAGACTCAAATCCCCATTAGGACCAAGAGCAACTCTCAAGCGGAACTCAAAACTGTAAACAATGAATAGGCCAAGAACAGAATCAGGTACCTTCAACACATTGCATGACTAAACGGAATAAAATAAACAATCAATTGTCAATTTAAATATTATAACACAAACCTGTGAGGCCAGATCTTTAAATCCTCGTCAGAAGGCCTCAGAATCAGATCAACAAAAGATTTAATAGCAGGGTTTACTGGTAAAGGTGGTGGATTATCATCAATAGTCCATAATCGGTTCCTTGCAAATCCATGTTGTTCAAGATTTCCATGTGTTCCAAACTGCATTTGTAAGTTGTGTTTTGGTGATTTGAGCAGACAAAATTTTATCATGAAGTCATTATAGGTAAAGGTTGCCTTACTTGGGGGAAGCAAATGGGTATCCCACCACGAATGGCTTTTGGAGGTTTGAAAATAGCCTACAAAAGAATATATTACTTTCAAAAGATATGATGATTCGAACATATGGCCAGCAAAGCAACATCAGAGAACTAGAAACAGGCAACTAGTAATATTTCAGGAAAAAAAGGGATCGATTTGTTTAATTAATCTTCCAATAGTCCATAAGAGGTGACAACAGAAGAAAAAAACTAATGGCGTGCAGCAATGAGGTAAAAATATTTTGCTAAAAAAAATAATGCAGACATTTCAGCCTTACAGGGGAGAGGCAAAACAAGGGTGAGCTATGAAATACAGAGATCATTCATTGACATAATTTGGTCATACAACTGTTGGCGATAAGATCCTTTAGAAAATGACTGTGCACCTTACTGCTGACAAAAAGCAACTCCTCCGCATGGTCATTCTTCCATGAGGTTACTTGAGCTCCATAAAGATAGACCTGAGAAAATGGAGAACTAGTCATTACTCATCATGGCAAAATATTTTATTTTTGGCTATTATAGTATATTCTCATGTAAATTCAGGGCATAAACAGGGCATAAATTTTCTGTTTTGAAAATAGTGGAACAGGTAAGAACAAATAAGATAAGAAAAATCACAGAATGAAGTTCACTTTGATATGGGCAATGTGGACCCATCCAGGGGAGCATGACAGCAAAGACAAAAATTTCAACATGTGTTTCACTTCGCTTGTGTACACAGAGATGAGGCACTACTACAGCAATTCGGAGATCAACACAACTGCAGAGTTACATATGTAAAAAGAGAGATACAAAACTGGTACATAATGATGATTTTACAGGGTTCAGAAGATGAAAATTATCTGAATATATTGAAATGATGGACTAGACTCTGTATGACACTATGACATATAAAAGGGAGATTAACAATTCCATCCACTCCTTGTACCAAAAACCTAAACCAAAAGCTTAAATGGCTGAACAGCACAAGAGGCTCCTCTACTGAGCATTATACAATTTGATGAACTATTTGGCATTAGCTTCTACTAAAAAATAGCTACATCGAAATGACAACCATAAGAAACATAAGCAATAATGTACAAAACAGTACCAAAACAGAGGATACATCCAAATTTGTCAGAAAGAATGTCTTCCATCTAGAATATGATTTCTACATACAAGGGCTAAAAAACATACATGGACCACAAATCCGATCCCTGTACAAGGTGACCTAGAAAAAGAACAGGGTAACACAAGAATCCCTTGTCCTTGTCAAATTATATCGATGATAAGCAAATTCCTATTTCGGCACGCAGGTTTGTAAACAGGGCATCCGTCGCTTAACAATCCCCACAATACCACCTTCATACAATCTTCAGAATAAGATTGCAGCATTTCACACATTGCAAACGCACGCCTAACGAATTTCCAAGAAACATCAATGGCGACCGGACACATCATGAAGGCCGTCCCTACTGCGATCGCACATCGCGCCATCATCCCATTGAGATTACGCAAAACTAAGCAGTTAACATCTCAACCAGCTAGATTACAAGTCCGCGAGCGGCGGATCGTGCAAATGCGCCACCAAACCATCCCCACCGAGACGAAATCGCGCGCCGGAAAACTACGAGCCCTCTTACGAATTCGCCCCAAGCCCCCGGACGCGGATCAGCCGAATTCCCGCCGGATCTGCGGTAATGGCGCCCGAATCCGCACGAATCGCCCCCCCCCCCACACACACACACACCACAAACGGAAGGAGAGACAGAGGCACAGAGGCGAGGGTTGGGTTGGGATTGGCGGGGGAGAACGGATCGGATACCTCAGCGGAGAAGCCGCGCGTGCCGCGGAGAAGGACCTTCTCGATGCCGGAGTTTCCCTTGACGAGCTCGTAGAACGGCGTCTGCGGGTGCGGCTGCGTCTGCTGCGTCGCCGCAGCCGCCGCCGCCGGCGGCGGCGACGGGGAGGAAGGCGGCGGGGCGGCCATCGCGCCACGCGACGGCGGCGAGGAGGAAACCCTAACCCTAACCCTAGCCTTCCACTCTCTCTCTCTCTCTCTCTCGAACTCACCACCTTTTTGCGGGGGTTTATTCGGTGGAGAAGAAGAAGAGGAGGAGAGGGGAATGGCGGAAGAAGTGAGAGGAAGGCGAGGGGGGTATTTATAGGCGACGCGATGGAGAAGAAGGGTTGGGGCTTTGAGGATCTTTTCGAAATTTAGGTGATCGTGAGGGGGTTTGCTGCAAAAAGTGAGTTGTATTTTCATTTGATTTGCTGCGATGTATTATGGGGCTGTTTGGTTGGCTCTCAAAGGTTGCCATGCCAAACCTTAGACATGTCACAATTTGTTAGTATATTGTTTGGTTGGTTGTCACACTTGTGTCATGCCTCACTTTACTAGTCATTGGGCCTATGCGTTATAGACTCAAATTCTTACCAAACTTAGCCACACTTGTGGCTAACAAATTGCTAGCCTCACTTTGTGTGGCATAACACACTTGTGGCAAAGTGAGGTATAGTAAACTTAGCCATCAACCAAACAACCCCTATATGCGCCGTTTGATTTAGATTGCCAAACGGATTATTATTGTCGCGGATTATTTACATGGTTTTGGAATAAGCTTAACAACTTGGAGTACTATCTTAAAACAAGTTGCTCTAGTAATATATTTTTTAGAAATATGTATTTTCCAAAATATGAAAAAAAAATGTGTATAATTCATTAGAATAATTATGTAAATAAGCTTAACATAGTTTGAAAAAAATAAATTATAAGAGAAAAAAAATGTAAAGTGAGGGTCTCATTTTGATGATCCACTGACGAGCCCACGCATCCTATGGTGGTGGATCCATGGTAACAATAGTAACAGTAAACACCAATGTGGCATTTTTTTCTCTTATAATTTAATTTTTTAAAACTATGTTAAGCTTATTCACATGATTATAATATTCATCATAGGTTGCCACATTGGTGTTTCCATGAGAGTGTAAATGCGCTCTGAATACATATATCATTCTTCGTTATCGAACCCCTTTTCTCATTTATGCCGAAACTAAAGTTATTTCACATTGCATTTGATGTGATCACAATTGGAGCATTCTCTTTGTAAAGATGTTCATTCGAATCCTCACATCTTTCTCGAGTAAATTAGACCAGTTAGATATAGATATATGCACTTTTTTCTTTCAATTTGTATAGCTTGTTTTTATACACCATTAACTTTTTCTCTTCTTCTTTCCAAGTCTAAAAAAATCATGATCTCTGTAGGTAAGGTAAGATTTTACAATCTCCATCACCATCAGCAACACTATTGTGGATAGTTGCCATATATTCCTGGCTGCCCTACTCTACAATATCAAGATTCGGTAGGCAGGTTTAGAGGAATATGACTTAAGTCTCATCTAGCTATTAACATCTCATATTAAAGGGAAAAGGAAGAGTCTTTAGGGATGTAGGTAATATTCCATCATATTTTAATTGTTTTAGACTTGGATTTATCTTTAAAAATAGAAGTAGTTCAAATTAATAAATGCATGCAAATGTGTACTTACTTAAAAGATACATATATCTTATAGTACTAGATAATGAATACAATTTTATAAAAAGGAAATGAAGAAAAAGTATCCATCGCTAGCTCACAAGATATAGAACCCAAGGAGTGGTTCAACATCAAATAGATTTGGAACAAAATAGCGTGAAAATGACGAGTCTTGTACTTTTATTTCTATATACGCGGGCAGATTCTTTGAGAACTTCTCAACCATAAAGATATAGGCGTTCACACGGTTTTAAGCTATTCCCCTGGAAGATAAGGCAATGACCTTGGCAACATTTCCTCACCTTTTTCAAGCACAAAAAAATCTAGTAGTAGTAAAAAAACACATATATGCAGCCTTGTTTTATTAGTATTTTTATCAAAAATATTCTCTTGGCATAAAATCTTAATTTGTTGTGCCTACAAACTCCAGGAAAAAAAATGAGAGTAGAATTTAGCTGTGTGTGGTTGGTCATGTGGCCTTTTATGGCCTTGGATTCCCAAGGTGGATCCCATGGAATTTTGGAAGGATGAGAAAAAGGTAAGCAGGGGAAGAATCCACTGCAAACGCTTGGATGGTAGCCGGGCCAGGAAAGATGGACGGTGGACGGTGGCCCGCACCAAGCTGGGGTCGTGGGGCCCACTTCACAGTACCAGTCGTCTGACCATGGGCCCCGCTTGCAGGGAGTGGAGAGGATATCTGTCTGTCTATACCCTAGTCAAATTGGGATTCAGATTGGGTGATATAGGGTAGACATGTCACGAGGTGACATAGCATAGATCTCAACCCTCCAAAATAAATCCAACGGTTGAGATTCGTTCACGTCATCACGAGTTAAAATTTAACTCGTAGGAGTAAAAAATTTACTGGGAGTAAAATTTCAGGAGTTAAAATTTTACTAGAGTTAAATTTTAAATCGTGATGACGTGGACGAATCTCAGCCGTTAGATTTGTTTTGGAGGTCTGAGATCTACGCTATGTCACCTTGTGACATGTCTACCCTATGTCACCCAATCTGAATAGGTGTTGGGTAGTACTAAAGTTTGCAATATTTTGGCTTGGTTTATTGAGGAATTTTTTTTTGTTCCGATTAGGATTTGATCAGTGGAAAAATGCCATGGGAGCAAGCGAACTTTATGGATTAGATTAAAGATAATTTTAGTGATACTGTCAGTATTATTATCAAGAAATCAAACAGTGAAAACAGTGTATTCATGTCACAGCATCTCAACTATACTTGCACTGTGTGTCTGCGTACTTGCAAAAATGAATACTCTTAGCCCATTATCCTCTTAATGATAGACTGCAAATAAGTTTTGTTTACATCTTTTTATACATGCAGGTCTTCTCTTAAAATTGTAGTCATTATCAAAATATAATCATCTCATAACTATAGTAGCAAATGCACGTCACCTGCATTTGTACGAGCAAAAGAACAAACAAAATGCCTATTGTTAAAATAATGCCAGATATGAATGATAGGAAAGTATCGAAATTTATTAAGAGAGTGATAAAGCTCGAACCTAGGCCGACTAATCCACACCTTTAGCTATTATGGTGTTAAAAAAAAGCCACTCACTGGTATGTGCAGACGTGTAGTGTGTTTGCTTTTTTGTTTTCCACGCAATCGGGAAAAAAAAAGAAAAACAAGGTTTGTTTTGTATGTAACCGATATAAAAAAAAAAGATAAACATAAAAAATTGCAATACGGTGGTTGTGCATGTTAGATTTAATTGGGTAATTAATCCATTTAAATCAATTAAATCAAATAAATTCTAAGGCTCATTATGCTAGGAATTCATGTGAATTCATTCTTCTATGGGATATCAATGGGATGAAGAGTTTTGAGAATTAATCCATTTGATTAAGGAATTGGTAACTTATATCAATTAGTCCTAATTGATGGATGGTTGATGGTTGTGTAGTGGAGGATGGTTCATGGCTAGTTGATGACAATTAGTTGCTCTATTCCTCTTCCTATTCCATTGGTAACTTACATCAATTACTCTTAATTGATTGTTGGTTGATGGTTGTGTAGTGGAGGATGGTTCATGGCTAGTTGATGACAATTAGTTGCTCCATTCCTCTTCCTATTCCATGACTCTTACTCTTCATCTTCCATTCCTCTTATAAAATGAGAATGGATTTGATCTCCCGCGAGAAGAAGAAGACACACTTTCATCCATTTTCCAAAGCTGTTGTTGCTACGGTAATCCCATCCCGACGAGTGTGTGCACACGCGTTGGGAGAGTAGGCCTCCGAAACCACGCGTTGCTGCGACGTTTGCACAGACGGGCGGGCGATCAGGTTTTTGGGGAGCGCAAGGCGTGACTACTCACTGTTCGTCAACATCTACTTCATCTTCACCAACATGTCGAACACTGGAGACAAGGAGAAGGAGACTCCCGTCAACACCAACGGAGGCAATACTGCCTCAAACTCCAGCGGAGGACCATTCTTGGGGTATAACCTTATTACATTATTTCAATTAGAAGTTTTACTGTTAATGTTCATCGCAATGTCAACATTGTGTCATTATGTGATTGTTGATGCTTATTCAACGTTAAGCATGCTCATGTTGATTACATTCACCACTATCACTGGATCAAATCCTATTGTAAATATCATGTTTATTATCTTGTTATTTTGGATTAAAATATGCCGAATTATGACCAAATTTCCAACAATCCAAAAACCTGATAGGTCATTTTCGGTAGTTGGCTTTGCTGCTACACTGAAACCACATGCCTTTGATGGTTCAAACTATAAGAGATGGAAAGCACGTGCACTATTGTGGTTGACAGCGATGCAGTGCTTCTATGTTTCACGGGGCAAACGAAGTGAACCACCTCTTTCTCCTGAGGAAGAGGCTAAGTTCGAGGCTTCGGATTGCCTGTTCCGTGGAGCATTGATCAGTGTACTCGCTGACAACATAGTGGACGTGTACATGCACATGCCTTCTGGGAAGGAAATGTGGGATGCACTTGAGGCCAAGTTCGGAGTTTCTGACGCCGGCAGTGAGCTGTATGTTATGGAGCAGTTCTATGACTACAAGATGGTCGATGACCGTTCTGTAGTTGAACAAGCTCATGAGATTCAGATGCCGGCTAAGGAACTTGAGAACAACAACTGTGAGTTGCCGGACAAGTTTGTGGCAGGTGGCATTATTGCCAAACTACCGCCTTCTTGGTCGGACTTTGCCACTTCTCTAAAGCACAAGAGACAAGAGTTCAGTGTTCCTGATCTCATTGGCTCTTTGGGTGTTGAGGAGAAGGCGAGGGCAAAGGACGTCCGGGGCAAAAAGGTTGAGGGAGGTTCTAGTGCCAATATGGTACAGAAGAAGAACCCTCATGCATCCCACAACTACAAGAAAGTCAAGCCTGATGTCAAACCCAAGGCTGCAACCAATTTTAAGAAGAAAAGCAAGGGAAAGGCAAAGGGAGACTGCTTTGTGTGTGGCAAGTCTGGGCATTGGGCCAAGGACTGTCCTGAGCGCAAAGACAGGAAGTCTGCCAACATGATCATTAGCGAGGGCGGAGGAACATCGGGGTACAGTAAAATATTACCTACAGTTCTCTCTGTTTTTCATTCACCTGATTGGTG